CCCCAAACCCTGGTATACAGTTTCAAAATAACGCTGGATTATCACCACTTTTGACAGTGAAAAATGCCGGTCATGCCCAGCAGCCTGGTCTTTTGTTTGGAGTACGGTCTTTTGTTACAGGGCCCTGTTTCCTTTGTCCGAGTTCGGAGACCCCGGCCACACATATAAACCATACAGCTCCGATTTCGGAGTCCCCGGCTGGTAGTGGTTAAGAGAATCTTACTCCTTTTAAATCAGTGGGACATTTTTCATCCATAAATCGTCTATTTTCATGGGGATGCCAAAGGGTGGCACATCAAAACAACGAACTCAGTTTGCTGCTTATGCAAATTTAAACAGAATTACAACAACTACAGCCTTAAGACTCATTCCGTGGGATCCACTCACAGTTTACCAAACACAATGGAGCAGTTGTTCATTAAGCAGAGGATCCACTCAAAATCAAGTTTAAGCTTTATGTTTCGGAGCCAATAGGCCATAAGGGTCATTCCTAATTATGCCTGATGATACACTTAACCAGGAGGAGCAAGATTACTCAGCGATGCAATCGTCAGAAGTCAACAAGGCCTACAGCACCTTGCTCAAGCCACTTTCCAGAGGACTCTACCTGGTAACTATCTCCCCATCTTTCCACTCAGTAAATTCATGTACATAGTCACAATTTTTTTACTTCCATTTTTGTTTCAGTTTTGCTCATAGAAAAAGAAAAAATAAAGCTTATGCAAAAAATGAAGTTGAGTGCATCCAAATACATGCATTCGATTGTGTTGTAACCCTATATCCCTAGGGTATGTGCAAAATTATATTAAAATTGGAGGGTTGAGGACTGTTAGGGTTAATTCTCAGGCTTGTCACCAACTGTTGGACTTAATGTTTTGACGATATCTGTCTTTGCACTCCACGGAATCTGAGATCTGGTCAACCCCAAGCATGCGCCTGTTTAATTTCACATCTGGCCCTAATTTGAAAGTTTCCTGACTCCAGCATAGGCACTGAGGAACCTGCATGGGCATGACCAGGATTTTTTTCTAAGCCAAGGAGGTGGGGGGAGGAGTAACATACTTTTATCATCAGCATCAGCAATGAATCGATAAACCATTAACAGAGGAAGGGGGCAAATTTTGGAGCAAATTGGTGATTTTCAGCCCCATTCATCTCTTTTTTATTATTCCCCCCCTTTCTTTTTCTTTTGTATTCTTCCCTTTTTTTGCCAACCCTCTCCCCAGGCAATGCCCATGGTTACCCAATCTATACTGCTCAAAAGTCTGCTCCCTCCAAAAGTGCATAATTACTGGAACTTTCTGGCTTTGTTTTGGCTACTCTGTGTTTGAAGCTGGAACTGAATGGGCTGACGATTGAGGAGGGCGATGCTGGAATTGAGCCAGGGTTCCTGATGGAGGTGATGGAAACCAACGAGGAGCTGGCCGAGACTGATGACGACGCCACAGTGAGGAGGATAGGAGAGGAAAATACAGGTCAGTAGTCAGGCAACCAGACAAGTCCAGGGGTTTAGGGAGCAGGTTGTTGATGACCCTGCAAAGCCATCAAGCTTTGAATCCTTTTTATGGCATTATTGCACCTCATCAGGTGTACATGTAGGTGTTATCAGCAGAATAACAGCTTTGATAATTACTGGCTGTGACAGTTGTGCAACTTCCATGAAAATGTGAACAGTTGGTCACATGTAGGTCATCTCTGTCAGTATACTTGGTGGACTCAAACATTCAACTGCCTGAATAACAGCTGTGAGAAGAATAGCCTTGGTCCTTACTCTCTGGACCACACTGCAAGTCAACGTGATTTGTTTTGTGCACACAGGCCTAAGCCTGTTCGATATGATGATATTTCACGATATTTTGATATGATGCTGATAACGGACATTTTATTGTTTGTAAAAACACATATCTGGATATCGTGCAAATTGATATGCTGAAAATTATTGCGATAAGCTCCAAACGATGTACTGTACATGTACATATGGAAGTCAATGCACCGCGTGTTGAGCCCTTCATTACTGCATTTAGGCCACACAAATACCCCATTGAAAACCTCAAACCACAAAGTCACTGTTGGCCCCAGCAGCTGCAAGGGTCTCACAAGTATTTAGGGGGCAGAGCCAAACCAACAGTGTAATGTATTGTACAGTAAACTCCAGCTACGTCGGCTCTCTCACTTGGGACTCGAGATCGTCATACGGTGCCCGCGGGCCGCATACGTACACGGCCGTTTTCCAATACTCAACTTCGCCTCCATCTCAGGCTTCGTCTCCAAAACCCATGACCGATTATGGGCCTGAAGCATTTCAATTAAATTGAAGAACTGTAATGTTTGGCTCGTTTGCATCTTACTTGATGTTTTGTGCCACTATCAAGTTTGCTATTGTGCTTACAACTTTAAAGTCAGGTTAGTAAAAAAACTAGTTGAAGCCTGAACGGAGACGAAGTCGAGTATTGGAGAATGGCCTGCATGTTCAGTTCGTTCAATAAGGCGACCCCCAAAATGCACAGAGCGCATGCGTGTAGCGCAAGAGGGGTCCCAGGTATTGATGTACTCAACCATGTGCATGCATCAGTCAAGCTGTGTGGGGCTTGTCGCTTGACGCTTCTAGGCAACTGTGGCAAAGGAAACCAATACCGAAGCGCGATATTGTTATTGTTGACTTACAAGAAGGATTTTTTGTGGTCTTGTAGAAAAGGGACTGAGTGAAACATGCCGACTTATCAGAAATAAATGATGACTTAGAAATGAGGTGAGGGCGTCAATACCAGTAGCCCCTCGAGTAACACGCATGTGCTCTGTCCATTTTGGGGGTTACCTTATTTAGCAAACTTTACCGCTAATGTGTGTCGGGAAATGGCTTTTTCTGTACTGTGCGATGATATGATATATGATAAATTAATGTCCACAATTTCCATGTTGAAATTTGCTTTCCACCAGCATATAAGAGTTCTAAATGTGCAAATAATACATATGCGTCTACATCTTTTTTTTCCTTTTTTTTTCCTTTTTTTTAATGTGGCTCTTGACATAATGGTGATTTCGGTCGTGTTTATTTTAAGACTGGAAAATGGCGTCATCAAGATAATATCGGATATCGCGATATGAAAAGAACTGAATATTGAACAAGCTTACACAGGCATGCTGATCGATTCTAAGAGGAGACCCGCTACCAAAGCTTGATTTTGAAGGCAAAACTTATTACCTTCCACACAGAAAGAGCTGTCATAATTTCGGCTTGAGTCAAAAACACTGGATGCCAACTTTCTGAAGAAATCTTTGCTGTTACGGACAGGAACAAATATTCACTTTTAAATGGCCTTCACTTGATTCAACTGGACTCAACTAGGTGCTAAGCTGCAACTCAACTTGGCTCCTTGCCATAGAGTACCAAAGTGAATATGTTAATGCACAAGCATGTGCATAAAAGTCATTAGAGCGAGAACCAGCGTGTGAACCAACTTCGTATGTACTACACCTCCTGGTTCTAAATGACGTCACACTTCGGTCATCTATACCAAGTTCACTTGTTTACTATTTGTCCAAATACTCCTTTATTCACATTCGATTTACATTACCATGTGCCACCGTGAGGTTGCCACAGCAAGGTCATTTCTTGCTGCACATTGCAGAAAATGGTTAACAGGGCAACCGGATCAAACGATCCACTGGCTGGGCATTGAGAACCGAATTATTTCTGATATTTGTTTGTCAAGGAAGAAGAGTAGCATTGAAGATGCAGTCTGGACAGCAGTGTTTGTTAATCCTTTCCATTTTATTTATTTTTATTTTATTACACTTTTCCACTGGCTGTTGTAAAACTAGACAAAAAAAATTAATACATTAAAAACATGTACATAAAACATTTGACATGACACAACAATCAGATGACGGGTATAAAAAAACATGCTAAAAAGCCAGTGAATGGCAAGATGGGACATGTGACCAGCACCTCTACAGAGCCATCCTACCATATGACGACCCCCCCCAAAGAAAATAAGACAAGTGGGACTTTATTAATTTCTTCTTTCTATTTTGTGGCATGTCCCTATCTATGAAAAATTTGCCCAAGTAGTTTACTGACATAAGCTCAAATGCAAATTGCAGCAAGTTGGCCATGGTTTTATCAACCGTTAACTTGCAAAATGGCCTCCCCATGGCAACCTCTTGGTGGCGCACTGTCTTGTGAATTGCCTGTATTATATTCGATTTGATTTTTCCTCAGCCATTCCTTTCCAACATTGAATTTGATGAATTGACAGGTTTCGTGTAGACCCAGTGTTGTTTTGCATGGAACACCATCTGATGTCAGCCTTTCTTTTTTCTTTATCTTGTTCCTGTTGTTGACCTGCAGTGAAACTTGGAGCTTTCCTGAAGGATTTATCGCAAGCCTTCTCAGAAGGTAAGTTGTCCCAAGTCCCTTCATAACCAGATTTTAATAATTTCAACTTTTTGTACGCGCCTTTCCTGAATCCACCATAAAGTACTTCGGTTACTATGAATAAAGTGCTTTTCAGAATGATTCTGACACGGTTTGGTCTGTTTGGAGTGCATGGTAATATATAAAACATTGCAAATACATGTACCATGTAACATACTCGTGGCTAATCAAGCGTTACAGTAGTGGCCAGGTTCTACATAGCTGAACCTATCAAAATTCCGCGAAATCAAGATGTGTGTCTTCAGTGGAATATGGAGAGTTTAACTGTTGAAAGCCAATAAACAGGAATGTTTAGAAAAGTATGTTAAGTAGGGTACATGTATCTGCAAAGGGAATTTAGACAGAAGGGAGGTTTGATGTACCCAAACTCAGGCATCTCTGCAGCAGGAAAAAAAGAGGCCAGAATGCCGAGATTGAACAGCAGCAGAAAGGGGGAGGGGGCACCCAGATAATCCTCTCCTTTCATTCCTTTTATGTTTTTTCTTGGAGACAACTTTTCCTTTGTCCACTTTCACAGTGACACGGCCTTTTAATAGCTTTAAAGGCAGGGATGCCCACTATGATAAGAGGCCCCACTCTGGGCCTCCTCTGGTTGGGTGTCCCCTTCCCTTTTGTAAATGCTAGGCACCCCACCCTATTTTTTGTAAATGCCAGACCCTCCCCTGTTAAAGGCCCATTGATTCCACTTTGCTTCATGCATTACTGCATTGCATTAACAGTGAACATCATGTCAATCAATCAGTCATCAAAGTGTTAAAGGTGCCTATATCCACAGAAGTGATCAGAGACACCGTGAGTGACTGTAGTGGAATAGGTCTATGAGAGGGACAAACTGCTGCTGAAAAGGAAGGTTTTCAGTCTTCCCTTGAAAATAGTGACAGAGTCTCGCTTGCCTGAATCTCCAATGGCAATTTGTTCCATAAACGTGGAGCGGCACAAGCAAAGGCCCTGTCACCATGGGAAGCTGTCCTACCGCATGGTTGTTCCAGCAGCATTCTGTCTTGTGTTAGCTGGCAGCATGTAGCACTAGCACACTGTTTCCTCTTCACACCCTTGGTAGTCTTTCATAAACACCCAAAGTCTTTGGCAGTGTTCTAAAGTGAGCATCTGATTGAACTGGCTATGGCTTGGTATAATTCATGCATGTGTGGCTGCAGCTGCTAATCAGTGGCTCCCATGCAGCCACAGACACAGCCACAACATTTGGACATGGCCTAAATCAGTGCGTGTAAAATGAAGATTCATCAATACCTAAGAAACATTTTCCATTCCTATTGGGTAACAGCCTGTCACTTGGCTTGGCTTGGCAGTCAGGTTTGCAAGGTAGTTCTTTCCTCGTCTTCTACCTCTGTGGTCCCGGGTTTGATTCCCGGCCCGGTCCACTTGTGGATTGGGTTTTCAGTCCCTACCTGACTCCGTGAGTTTTACCCGTAATATTCCTCTGGGGTTTTCCTCCCACCTCTAAAACTGTAACTGCTTCTTACTGTCTCCCCTTTACTGATGTTGGTGAATGTGGGTCGTTTGGCGGCTGCCCGAGGCGCCCTTTTATGCCATCGGCTCAACCATGTTTATATGTATTCATTGTTCCACGCTTAATGTCTTCATTGTACCGCGCATTTGAACATATCTATATGAAATTTTGGATTTATAAGTGAATAAATTATTATTAAATGGTTGATAAAGCCCCTGCTGGCTGTTCGCCACCTCACACGGTGTGAGTGCGCCACATGCACACCAATCACCATATAAGGAGATTATTTATGACAACTAGTGCAAGGAACATATCACAACATGGCTAGAGGGGTGTTTGAATGAAATGCATTAAATCGTTGGAAGTTATATTTTGTAAAACTTATTTTAACAATTTTATTTAAAAAAAATAAAACTTTTACTGACTTCATGACTCAGAGGTATTTATGAATGGGAATGAATATGGGTGTGACCAGTCTTGAACATTTAAGACTGGCTTAGAAGAGTGGACGCTGATGATGTCCCTGGTCTTCAGTTCAGGCATTGTTAGTGCCTGATTTGGTCTTAGTAAATGAACATTTATGAACAGCCAAGTAAGTATTTGTTCCCTTAGTAACACTTGGAAACTGGCCATTTTACTAGCTATCCATCTGAAGTTTTTCGGTCACTGCTTTCCTCAGCATTTAATCAAATTTCTAATCCAGGATCCATTGAGTCATGGGACTGTCTGTCAGTCTGTTGATCTAAATTGTTGTTAGTTAGTTTTGATGTATTTAATCAATAGCTCATCCACCCAGCGAACAGTTGGTTTGCTCATGAATCAGAAAACAGAAAAGATGAAACATTTCTCAGTTTCTTTTTTTTTTCTTTTTCTCCTCAGGCAACTATCCCCAGGCCAGGGAAATACTGATGAGACTGAAATACTTTTCCAACATAGACGACAAAGTCAAGGACAAACTGGAGAAGAGTTTTTGAAGAAATGATCCACTTTAACAAACAGGGTTGGTTAACAATTGCGCTATGACAGTTACATTTTCTCAAGTGAGGTTAAGGATATTTATCCAGTGGGACTGTAGCTTAATAATTTGTGAAGATGTAAATTGGAGTACCTTGGACCAGGATTTATATTGTCATGATTTCAAAAGAAGCTGTATCAGAAACATTTGTGCTATAGTATCCCTTTGGGCTGCAACTAACTGATTTCATTGTCTGCCAAGGTAGATTTTAAACTAAATTTTTAAAATCAAATTCAGCTTGTTATTTTTCAGCGTATTTTAGTTCCTTTTTAAATCTTAAGAACAAACTATAATTTGTCATTAAAAGGTGTCCTGTGTTTAAATAGGACTCCTCTGTTACTGAATTCTACCTACTTTTGACAAAGCAAACAGCCAACTTCTGACATATTTGTCTTGAAGCACTTTCTATAAATCTTTTAACCCATCAATAATTTACAGTTTTTAGACAGAGAATTGGCAGCAATTTCCGCCTGATGAATCTATATGTAGTTGGCGTCAGATTGTGTAAATATTCCAAATAGGCTAAATAAATTATGATATACTCTTAACGAGATTACTTGGGATTATGAGTTTTAGCCAAACCGTTGCTGGTTTGATCAAGCAAAAAATACCCACAAGCAAATGAGTAATTAGGATTTCACTTTTACTCAGCTTTATAACACCATGAACTTTCTGACAAAAATTAAAAGCTGTGAAATTTGTGTAAATAAAAACAATATGTTGAGTCCTGGATTCTTTGTGCCACCTCATCCCTGTCCCCTTTTCATTTTTTTTTCTTGTGTGTTGTAACAAATCTTGGTTTGTGTCTCGAGTACATTTGCCCGCCTGCCATGCTGCATGTGCGCCGATTGAGGCAGTTCCCTATTCCAACAGCGCATGCTTAACCGCGTCCGAGGTCATTGGGACACGCGTGTGTGGTCTGCCCTATCAGTGCGGCCCTACGCAGCGCGCGCGTACTTTGTTCCCGAATGACCTTGCTTTTTACCGAATAAGCTCATTGAGGTGGTAGCGTGTTTCTCTGACTTTAACTTTTCCCACAGATGATTGCAGGATTTTTGTGTATACATATTAATGGAATATGGTTTTTGAACGTCGGCAATTTGGACTCGATAATTCCCCAGAACAGATTCTGCCAAACCGAAAAAAGGAACTGGACAGTTCTAGGTATCGTACCCGATACGATACAGACTCTTGCATATAAACAAAGAGAAACGGAAATATTCGGCCATCGATCCCGCTCGCATGCAAAGCGAGCGCTCAACCACCCCAGCCAGCTGATCATCCACGCGTTTGATTTTTACCCTTTCCAAGTGTGAAACCAATCCTTGAAGAAAAATCCTTGGAGGAGGTGGGTATCGACAGCAGCGTCTCTCGCATGTAAAGTGTGCGCCGTACCATTTGATATAACCCCTACAACTTTTATGTCATTTTTCAACTAATTCAGTTTTGAAATAACTATGAAGAAACGAAAAAACTCCCTCGAAGATCTTGGCATTGATTTTGGTGCTTCCCACATGCTAAGCGAGTGCTCCACCATTGAAGCTAATCTGTTACTCGTTCTGCTCTATTTTTCTTTAGCTTTTAGACAATTGTAATTTTGAAACCTGTTCATAAAAATTTCTTTATAAAAAGAGAGGTTTCTAGAAGATACGGGAATTGATCCTTGCACCCCTCGCATGCAAAGCGACCGCTCTACCGTTTGAGTTCGCTCGTCGCCCAAACAGGGGGGACTGATGGCCTTTAGTGAGTAAAATACGTCACACGGGGTCACAGCAAACAACGCTCAGAGCATTGTGGGTAAATTTTTGTCAGGTGGGCGAGCTCGCGCAATGTGTCACACAAGCGGCTGTTATCAATTCCATATTTTGTCTTTTTCTTCCTCTTTGCTGAAAATATTCTCACTACACTTTATACATTTATCAAAAATTGATCAAGATAACCAATGATTTGAAATATAGGCCTATCGCCAAAAGACACGTGATCAGTGAAACTTCGTGAGAGGATAAATTACTGCACTGTGACTGTACCAACGCCATGTTGCTATCACTTTGCCCCTCCCAAAACATTGCCATCGGAACAAAAATTAAATAACCTTGCAGTTACAGGTCGTACACAATACAGTATAAAGCAATCAGCCCTTCCCAGCGCCATGTTCCGTCGCTGGGCGACGAGCGAACCATTTGAGTTGATCCACATTTCAGTTTTCGAAAAAAACTGTTAGAAACAAATTCCATCAACAGAAGAAACAAATAAGTTTTTGAAGGTCTGACTAATGATCCCAGTACCTGTCGCATGCAGTGCGAGCGCTTTACATTTTGAGCTCGTTTTCTTCAGCTTTTAGACTATCGAATCAATTTTAAAAGTTTTAAGAAACGGAATCCTTCAAGAGAAAAATTCCCTTTTGGAAGATCCGGGTATCGATCCCGGTACCTCTCGCATGCAAAGCAAGCGCTCTACCATTTGAGCTAATCCCCCACGTGGTTCTTTTCAGTATTCTTCAGCTTTATTATAAGAAAATTTTTCTTCAGTACAATGCCCATTTTTCAAACGAAGGAAAAAAAGAAGTCTCTTTAGATCTGGGTAACGATCCTGGTACCTGTCGCATTATAAGCGTAAGCGAGCGTTTTGCCATTAATTCCCCATGCACGTGTATGACTGAGTCTATTTTTAGAAAATTCAGCACTGAAAAGAAACTCCTAAACAAAATCATTCAAAAGAAAACTAGTCCTGGTGTGCTTTCCGGCACCCCTCGCCACGGCAAAGCTACAGTGCTATACCATGTGACCTTATCCCTCACACGTTTTCAAATAGAATTTGAAACATTCGGAAGCAGTTGTCTTCAAAACACAAGAACAAAGATTCGGGAATTGATTCCATACTATAACTCTCCTAATCGAGCTCGAGCCAATCTCCTACACTTTTTCCTTCGGCTTTGACACAATTCAATTTTGAAAAGTTTGAGAAACGAAGTCCTTTGAATGGAAAAAAGGTTTCTTCGGTCTTTACATAATCCAGTTTTGAAAGAAACAATTTTCTTCAATAGAAGGACAAAATAAGTCAACGTAGGATCCGGACATTGATCCCGGTACCTCTTGCATGCAAAGTGAATGCTCTAGCGTGTGAGATAATGCCCCATGCACCATTCGCTTCCTTTATTTCCCTTCAACCTTCAGAAAATTAATAACCTTTAAACGAAAAAAAGCCTTTTGGGAAGATGTGGGCGCCGATTGTGTCCTACGTTTGCTACATAAATATTTTTGACTATATTCTTAGTTTGACTCATACCACTGGACACTGACTTTGAAATGTAGCGTACAAAATGACAACCTCAACAGCTGGACAACTATAAACGTCTATTGATAACAGTGGCACAAAACATTTAAATGCTACTATTTGATTCATAGAAAAAGAAGCATGTGGTACTTCGTCTTTGCGCAGCGATTTGGACGCGCGCTTCACAACGCGCAATGATAGCGCGTCACGCTTTTCGAGCGCGTACAAAAACTGCAATACGTATCTGCTCGCGCGCTCATATCTCAAGATGTTCGTGTCGGATAGGTTTGCCTAGAGATTTATGGTTTCTTCATCTTGTTATCCTTTACGAACCTGGAATCACGGCCTCTACATCTTCAATGGACAAACGTATAGAAATACAGTGAAGCTGGTCAACTTTCGTTCATCATGGGACTCGCTCCTAGTTTTCCAATCAAAACGCAACCGATGAATTTTGTATCAGTTCTGGCTTTTGACACCTCAGGTATCGTGTTGTATCTGTTATTGAAAACATGACATCCTTGGCCAACCTTTAGTACTGTTGGGAATGACTCTAACTTCAGCACTATGTTTTCCTTAATTTTATGTTTTTGAGCAGGGAAACGGCGGAAACATTTCCGGCAGAGAAACGATATTACCGAGTTCGAATCCCTCACCAGTAAGTATTTCGGTCGCTTTGTTGAGGAGAGACAAAAGGCACAAGAAGCGAAAGAAAAGTTCAACGGTAAGCGAAACACGCCCAGACAAACGGATGACATCTCACAACCGAACTTGCGCTTCTAAAAAACCATAGACATGCAGTGAGAAAACTGGCTGCGAACCAACAGGCCAACGACTGTGGTGCGAACAAAAATAGTTTACGCATTATTAATGCCTTGAATGTCCTACCTTCAGGGCATCACTTTTTCGTCTGGAGGCCCTCTCCAATTAAAAAAAAAATCTTATTGCATATGTATCAGGCCAAAGTCATTCTTGTAGTACATCTTGGACAGTGTTTGTGTCTCCCACTAAGACTCTGAGGCTAAATTGGCACTTTTTTGTATAGCACATAGGAAGGAAAATGGAGGAACTCTTGCTATTTTTTTTTGCAGTTAAAGGGGATTGACTTCTCTAATTTTGGAATAAAAGTGAGCCCAAAGTAACGATTACCAATACCACATTGTATTAATTTTTTTGTCGTTATGAAACTTCAGCAAAAACCTGTTAAAAACTACCGTTAGTCTTGAGTGAGCGCAGTGGCGTAAATCTGCGAGGTCCTTACACAAGTCTGACACTAGGGGGCGATATTCATAACACAGATGTACATCTACATGAGATCCGTTTCGCATTCCTGCCGAATCTTACATCAGAACGAAATATTTATGTTTTTTTTTAATTGCTCACTCTTTGAATGCTATTAAGTACAGTTTGGTTGTTGCGAATTTCGAAAAAAATCGTTAAAATCTGCGTTTTTTTCCCCACTACAAAAAGAGGGATGATTCAATAGCCTCGGTCAATACCCCATCCCCTTGGGATTTACGCCCATGGATGAGCGCATCTTACTGTATGTTGTTTCTAAAAGTAAGCAATTCTTATGTAATTACCAAGTAAACTTTGCAATCCAAACCTGTAGACTGGTAATACTTACCCCCTAAAATAAAGAAAGTATAATCAGATATAATAAAGTACAATCACATTAAAGATGAAACTGCATGCTTTTTTCCCCATCTTTCAGACCTTGTCGGTTTGGCGGCTCGTTTCCCGCAGTGGCATGAGAGTGACATTGCCGACTTCAGGTCTATGTTCATGAATTTCGATCAGAACCACGATGGCTTGATAGACTTCCCAGAACTGTACGCAAGTCGAAGTAGCTAAGTTTATTGGTTAGATTGCAAGCAACAAATTTTCGTAAATGACCAATTTGAAGTATCCAAGACTTTCCTACAGTCTGCATTAAAAAAAAAGAAATGATAGAGCTCCGTTGCAGCTTTAGTGAGATTGCCCGCATCTCTTCCCTTTCATACTGAAGAACATATAAAATTCAGTTTTCCCACTGAGGATATGAAGTGGAAATTCAAGGAGTTTCTCCATCGGTTATCTATGGAGAGTATCACCTTATGTCATCATTAAGGCCTACCCTTCATGGTTTCATCAGTGAAGTCACCGATTTTTGTGTTACTTATTCCCCCCGTTATATAGTGACAAAGCTCTCAACGAGTTAGGGGATACATCTGCCTATCAAGTCCGCAAACGCAAATTTGACGAGATTGACGAGGACCACTCTGACAGTATCGACTTCGAGGAATTCCTTCACGTAAGGACCAAATCGTAGCTTGTTGCTGAAAATGCTTCAGAAAAATTCGGATCGGTTGCATTTTTGCTTGCATACAACGAGGAATTTGATATCTTTACCGGTTCAACCTTTTCGGTACAAAGAAAGGGTCTAGCTTTCCTCTGACACCACTAATCACATGAACAATTCAATTCTCTACCTTAGTTACCATCACCGATCGTTATAGGAGTAGAGTAAATACAATTCATTTGAAACGTCACCAGTTATTTCACAGCAGTACGATAACCGGATAAAAATGTCCCGGAATATTAAAACATGTACGTTATTTATGTCTTTTGTGAAATTTTGTGAAATCAAAGAATTACACTTACAACACCGATGCCAATTCCCACCCTTAAATATATTATTCATTACTGATCTGTTTCTTATATCGTTTGCCGCAACTTTTACCAGAAATTCTCTCTGGACTGTGGTAAATTGGTCAAAACAGCAGCAGCAACGACAATTATAGAACGAGACTGTACTTAATGTTGGCCCTAAAGTTCGAAGTGAACATTGGTGTGTGTATTCGTATTGTGAAAACGTTTGTTCAAGTCAACCCTTTTTTTTTTCAATCACAGTTGATCGACAATGTAATGATGTCATCTGAAGAGGGTATCTCTGGCGCCCTCGGTGATATGTGCAAACGGGAAAGCCAAAACGCCAACATCCTGCGTCATCTGTCCATCGAACAGCAAATGACAGCGGGGCTATTTTAATCATACGTGGGTTGGAAAAAAAATGAACATTGTTATTTGTGTGGTCCGATAATAATAAATGCTGCAGGAGTGGATATCACTTATTGCAAAGTATTCTTTTTTACAACGTTGGTTTTATGACAAAAGTGTACCGTTGATAAAAGTGGTTTAGAAAAAAAATGGCCTCTTGGTGACTCAGACAGATTGATATTTAACAGCCCCTTCTCTGTAGATTTATAATGCATAAAGCTCGCAGTGCGCAAGTAATAACGCCCAATAGTTGTGTCAAAGGATTTCCATAACGCGTCATTACCCAACATGCATTTTGAAAGTGAGAGCTTTATGTGTTTAAAGTGTATAGATACAACTGGAGCACATGATCCAAGCAAAGATCAATTAGAGTAATTAATTGATCTGAGCTAGTGGCGAAGTAGGCTCTGATTGGTGCCCGAGTTTGAATAATTCATCAACCTCTCTATACCGTGATTCAACGATAATGTATTGCTCTCGCATAATTTGTTTTTCGAAATAAAGGAAATAGCATTTACAGCTCGCTGCCCCAGCTGATTAATAGAAATGAATCTCTCTCAGTTTTAAGCATGATCTATTTATAATGCTGGTGATTATCGTCATTATTTTAGTTAGTTTTTGTTCCTTTTCCTCTTTAAATCCTCTTAAATGTTGTATTCTGATTGAAAACAAGAATTATCATTTTATCATTTTTAATTTTTTATCCTGTCGTTTCTCCCTGATAGATGTTGCAAAAGCAAAATCTGATGCCATTCATTTCATCAATATTTCAGCACAATCTGCCCCAATATTTTTGAGAATCGGCATCTCGTGTAACCTATCTCCGATGAAACCGAAAGGGCAGCAGAATGTAGGCCTACATGTACGTGCACAATGAACCGCAACACACTAGGTTATAAAAGTCTGAGTCCACCAACAGATTTTGTTGAAAATGTTGGACAAATACAAGACCATGTCACTGAGACTCGTCCCTCTTCTTTCGTGTAAATTTTGTCGTGTAAGTTAAGATCATGGCTTCAAACAAGAAATGTTTGTGTATGTGGATATTCCCCAGATGGGAAAGGAACAAACAGCCATGTTCTAATCTACAGTACTTGGCCCGCGAAAGCGTAAAAATAGAAAAAGCTGGTATTTTTCAACACATTGCCTAATTGTATTTGCGCCACCTAGTGAAACGAGTTAACCATTCTGTGACCTCAATGAGCAGACATGGGGGAACCCGTCTGCACATTATGAACGTCACAGCTATTCCGCTATTGCGTCAATAAACACAATGAGTATGCAGAAAGCCACGCAACAGACAGAAAAATACCTAGACAGCTTCCCTTTCACGCAAGATTGATAGCCTTTTCTATCAGAAAATTTCATTTAGTTGTGATATGATGAGCTATTTTGGTGAAAAACTTGAGAAAAAACGTGAGGCCTGCCGTGTCGCATAGCAGGTGCAGGAAACAACAAATTTGAATAAAAGTGACCACGTGACGTCTTTTGGCCAATCCATCAAAGGGTAATTACCGCCTGAGTATTTTGCCCTTCACTGTGTCGCCATTACGTTACGCGAAGCGGACTAAAGCCGCCCCCGTGGTCGACGTTATCTCGGATTTTTACCCTATTTCTTGGATCATACTGCCGCAACGGTCGTGGAATATACGAGAGCCATGTGTCGAGTATGACTGCCGCAAATTCGGCGGCGAATGGTGCCAGTTTGGAAGATTGTCACACCAACTTGTTCGCCCTGGTAAGTTGGAAATTCGGGGTCAGATTGGTTGTTTGAAGTGCGTACGTCAGGAATGGATACCCCATCAAGCCGTGACCCGACAGCCATGGCCGAAAGACATGTCGGCAGAAAGTGACCTTGGACCAAGGGACACGAAGGAAGAATACGATTAGAAGATCATATTTTCAGCGTTAAATTTCTTTCGTTTAGTGACCACAGACGTATTTATCAGAATGCCTCTGGCTGAAGTCTTTTTACAAGCGAAAATCCCCGCAAACATGTTGAAATGTAGGTGCACGTCATTCACGTACGTTAGGATTACGACTACGAGGAAGTCAATCGAAGACGCCATCATCATGACCAGGCCGTAATTATCACCGTGATCACGTTTGCGGTTATGTTGAATACCAGGAATAGTGCTAAACACAAGGCCGAAAAGTTGGATCACATTTTTATTTTCAAATGCACGTCTTGTGACCATTGTCTATTTGCCTCATGCACTCCAATCATCAGATGCCAACATCATACAGGTATTAGGGCCTATGATGTAGTACACGCCTAGGCTTCATTACTCATGATATTAACAGATATCGCGTGTGATCTCAGCCAAAAGACAGTATCATTCCAATTCGGCCTTTTCACAGTAGGGTGCCACCAAGAGTTTTCAACACGTTGGCCAATCACAATGCACGAAATTTGTCGACCCAATGCGCATTTGGAAAAGGTCGACAAATTTCGCGTGTTATGATTGGCCAACGCGTTGCAAACTCTTGGTGGTGCACTATTGTGAATCGCCCGTATTGACACCGTAAAATTTGGAGACTGGGTACTGTGTCCCAGCAGTATGTAATCCATAAGCACTCTTCAGAAGCCAGCAATATCCTATAACTATTCAAATGTGAACTTGTTTTCGACAGTTACTATTTGAGCAGCAAAAGTGATAGAACGTTATTGGTCATTGCTATGCTATAAAATTTATGATAACTCTGGATCAATCACATTTGCAGATCACCTGATTAAATAAGAATTAAAAGTTGTGTAGGCAAACCTTTTGTGAGATTTGTATGACCAGTGTGAGTGGGGAGATGAGATCATTTTGCTAATGGAAGAAAAATTTTGGTGTCTTTGCTGTTTCTTTGTACCGTTTCTTCTTGGCTTTACCTTGAGGAAGCTATCTTGAGTATTAAATGCATTTGATTAAATTAGAGTGCCATGTACATGTATATAGGCCTACCGTTCTCCAAATAGTTGCAACGGTACCTCAGACAGTTTTGAGGTCATGCTATTTAGCGTCAACAAGAGTCAACAACCGTCAACAGAGACTAGTGGCGTCAGCAACTTGAAAATACCGTAAAGATTTAGAAGTGGTTTTATCATATTTTAGAGACTAACACCTGCCACTGTGTAAGAGAACAATGAATTTGCTTCCAGATTCCCGCAGGATGTAGGGGGCTGCCATCTGTCTTTTCTCAGCCCTCTGCATGAAACTAACATGGTGGCCATTCGGGCTGCATGAGCAGGTCCATCTTGTCACTCACAGTTTGACACTCAAATATCATTTCAGATACATGTAGTATGATACATTGAATATGATATGTAGGAGCCTGATTAATATTGTGAATTAAAAATCTTTGCATAAATAGGTTTGAATAACTTGATGCTTTATTGACGTTTGTTGACGCTAAATAGCATCACCCTAGTTTTTGCATCGCTGATGCACGTGATGCAGTGTGCATCATAGTACATAGTGTAGACCCTATAGGCGATGAGGATTCCAAGACATTACATGTAGGTCAAATGACTTGCTTATTAAACAGCTGATGATTGCTTCGCACAAGCTCCCAATCTCCTGCCATAAATTTAGATGTACCGTATCAGAGGCTGTGCAGCATGCATTGTCTGAAACTGTCAACTGTTGTAGAAAGTGGGAATTTATTTCCCTTGAAATTGAGTATGCGTGAATGCCGTGAAGAGATTTGTTTTCAATAGAATGAGGGTTTATCAATTTGTACGTAGAGCGAGGCACAGTGTCCTTTGAAATACATGTGTGCAAAAATACCGTCTGTATGGAGCTGACTTCATTGGTTACCATGCATTTTGTGTTCACTTACGATAGCCAAAGAAGGGAAGCAGTTACACTCATGCATTTCGCGAGCAGCACAGTGTGCATGCAGCATGTTTGTACATGACTAACAACGTGGGCATTGTTTCATGTCTCATGGTTGGATATTGTCTTATGTTTTTACTTCTTAATGTGTCAAATGGAAGTTGAAAGTGGTGCAAATATAACATGAATTAGTGGAAGTGTGAAAAATAAGTTCAATTTACACTAGCTAGAATTAAAAAAAAAGTGATAGATATTTCATTTTGGATTAACGTTACTAATGTAAAGCACAGTGCATGGTGTGCTGCTAGATTGTGCATATCCTTTCACTTGCTAGCCAACACTAGCCACACAAGAAAGCCAACACATAATGAATAACGGTGCTGTTATGTGGAACTGCGTTTTAAATGCATACTATCGGCAGCTACATTCTTAAGTGACATTGTAAAGTGTACCAAATTCATCAAACCAGCAGAACAAGGGCACGGCAGAAACAAATAAACTGAGGTCATTGGATCTGTCAGCAATTAGAATTAAACAAAACAATAAATTTAATATTTAAAAAAAGAAGAAAAAATATACATTGATGAACTCCACTTCAAATAATATCTAAGGAAGTTCTACACAAACTGGATGGCAAAGTACATGTAAAGATTACATGGAGTTGACTAATACCAGGTACAATGAGCAAAGGTGGGAGTTTGACATGACTTGTAGCCATCAGGGAGCACTTGGGTAGAAAATCAGTATTCTAGTGAGGACTGGTGATGGTATGCTCGTCTACGGAGAGCACCGAGTCAATCTGGCGCAAGCCTTCTAGGAAGAGCACTGAGTCGGTCTGGCCTAAGTAAACTCATATACCAGACAACAGCAAGCCTGGGGAGACTCACAGCCATTGAAGAAGATATCTGGTGGCCCGGCGGGGCTAAGTGGGAGCCCACTCTTAGCATCGTCTTGAATCAGCAGCTCGTCTTGGGTGTTGGCTATTAAAACTTAATAGTTGGGGACACACATCACAGTGATGAAGGGAAGTGGCCCAACTCTGACCTTGGTGGGACTGCAGGAGTGCTGTGCTTTTCATTGCTGTATAATGAGAAAACCATCAGCCTGGGCAATTTTGGTAGACATTCTGGGAGCAAATAAACATTATTATTGAAAAGAATGCTACAGGCACCGCTTGGTCATTAAAGTTTTATTTGCGCACACAATTTTGTTACACATCTACATGTAGATCTACTATATCTTATGAAGTGGAAAAAATACTAATTGCCAAAGGTTAATTTGAAACAACTGTCGTCAAGAACGTTCTGGAGAAAATCCCTGGAGGTGTATTCTTCCTTGAGGGGAAACAAGAAACAATGCATCGCTCTGCCTTGTGATTTTTCACTTCCTGGTCGTAAAATAAATCCAAGCATCTGATGCATGTGAATATTTGTGAAGCAAATTTGTGTGAAAATCCCATTAACAAAACTTAGGGCTAACAGAAACTGAGGTTTTACAATACAGTGAAATGTTTCCATAATTTTCAATTTTTACCATTGGTAAATTAACTTATCCCTCACTTGGCTGGCATCACCTAGTTAAATTGATCGGGCTGCCTTCAATGTACACATACCGGGATCTTGTATTAAATTTGCATAGCGTACATAATTTATTGCATTCAAGGCCAAGAAACAATGTAATTGATATTGCTCAGAGCAAAAACTAGTGGATGAGTACATGTACATGTACACATACCATGCATGCAATGATGAAAGAATGCTCTGACACTAATGCTTGAAAATCCTAGGATACACAATGGCCAAAGTTCACTGGCCCAGTGGGCTGTGTGTACAGAGAGTGCATACCTTAATGCGCGTATGGTTTAATGCTTGAGTGACCCACTCCATTGGTGCGTCCAAAGCGCCTGGGACCTTTTGCATTGTAAAATTCTGTGTCCACGGTGTGGCTCCACGACACACTTCATGCACACTGAGCTTTTCAGTGAGTAGTTTGTCTCATTGTCAGAAATGGCCATTGAGTGGGTGGGAGAGAAACAACGGAAGAAGTCTAGATTGGCAGGCAGTCGTCATACATGTATGTTGCCATTAAATTTGGCTGCCTGTATTGATCATGGCGTTTCGTGGTTTTAGAAGGGGGAGGATGCTGTGGCTGGTCTTCATGACTGGCATGTTGACAAGCGGAGCATTGGGAAAGGTCAGGTGTCAGCCAGGCAATGAATCGTGGCGGCAGTGATAGGGATCGGCTGACTTGAGGTCCATGTGGCATTACATTAATGGCATCACTTAGCACTACTGGATGTCAACAACTTACACATCCCAGTGTTGTTGGTTTTTTTTTTTTTCCATTTTCCCGTGTGCATATTCACGTAGTCTGTGTTGGCTCATTAAAAGTTTTTCTTTCTGAAATTATGACAAATACTTCACATGCTGTATGTGCATACATCAACAGTCACAGCTACGCACCTTATTGTGAAACATTTTCATATTTGTTTTCCTGGTCTTCATGTTGGTACAGTTTAGGTAATTGAATAGGTCCGAGTGGAACAGAACTCAATACAGCTCATCTCAAATAAATAGTTCCTGCTGGTAACATTTGTACATGTTGGTAGTAAAAGTAATGACAGGCCATTCCCTGATATTTGCTCGACACGTGAAATGTTTGAATTGGGAAATGGCAAGAGACTGGGATTTTGTTTTATAAATAGTGAGTGTAGTGTGCCATACTTGGTAAAAACTAATTGAGTGGATACAGGTTGGGTGTTAACTGTTGACAAAAACTGGAAATGTGACTTACAAAATTATATATCGGTACACTTTCCATACGTGTAAGTGTACTTTTTGACTTTTATTGATTTTCCACCCTGTATATACATGTACCAGTAGATCTTTAAGTCTCACTGCGTGAATCAAATTGCCAGTGTGTGAAAAATAAAAGTGATTGAACCAATCAAAAAACAAAAAATGGAAAAATAAAAGTGATTGATTGAACCATTTAGATCTCTGTGTACACATTTACATGTTAACTGTGTCTTTCCTTATCCCTCCTTTATTTTCCCAGACGGATCTCTCGGGCATCAAATGGCGTAAGTTCAGCTACGATTGCCCCCAGGAGCCACTGGGGCCCCTGGAGGACCCCGTCCTGGTCTCCTACTCTCGCTGCATCGCGGCCAACATCCTCAGCGTCTGGCGCCGCGTCCCCTTCATGAACACAGACCTTCTGCTCTCCCTTGACGTGCCCATGAAACCGGACCCCATCTGGACCAAGGAGCTCTGGATTTACTGGTATGGGGACGACCCAAATCTGGAGGAGAAAATCTCGCCGGATCTCAAAGGTAAATAAGTGCCCGAGATGTGTCACCTTTGCTGATGCACCAGCAGCTGAATGCCTTTGTTGTCTGTGAGCAGGAAAATGTTGGGATCTTGTCAAATAGTTAATAAGAGCTGTCACTTCTAAAGGGAATCATTTTTCCAGAATCCAAATCTGTTTTGCAAGTCCTTGTGCAGTTTTTAATGTTGAAAGGAATATGTCCCGTTACTTTTTTGCTCTTTGACTTTTGAACTTGTGGACATGACTTTGCAGATGAACTTCATGGCCTGTAACATTTGTTTTATATGAGAAGCACTGGTAATTTGAAGTCTGTTTCTTTTGAGGAAAAGAAACTTTGCTAAAGACTTCAGTTCATCTGTTTGCTTGCTGCCAGTCTTTGCATCCCCGGTTTGCCCTTTGTAACTAAATGCAGTCAAAACATTCAGTTCTTTATAGCAGTGGCCTTTTTCCTACATACACAATGGACACCTTCGCAGATCTTGTATGCTGTGTGTGTACACACACCAGATCTGGACTATGACCAGTGCGATCCTGATAGAACCCTTTGTTAAATCTCTTGATAAATAAGCTGTTGCTAAAAAAAAAAATATGGATCAAAAATACTTGAAGGTCACAAGATGCAAAGTCCATATCTGCACTGCTCTTGTAGAATTTGGCGGAGCTGTTGTGTGCAGTTTACTACATACATGTACACATGTATTTACTGGTACCTGTGTCTTCTCATTATTCATTATACAGATAAGTGCATGTACAGGTACATTATCAACGTGCTCGTTTATTTGTCTTGCTGATTCTTGCTGGTATTTCCCATATGGTTTTACTTGAACCTAGAGACACTACAAACAGGAAATGGCATTCATACAAATTCATATTATTAATTGAAATATTATTCAGCGTCAAATTTTATTTTATGGGCATCCATTCTTTCTTCCATCAGCATTAAAAATCCCTTAGTTTGACCCCCAAATATCAAATTTTCCAACAGAGAACATTTCTTGGTTCTGTTGTCATTCTGTGCAGGCTAATATGTGTTCTAATATGGTGATAATGAGTAGTCATCATTATTGTTATGTTGGATTGAAAGGGCTTATTTAAGAACACAATAGAAAATTAGTAAGATTTAGATTTGAATGAGTTTGAATGATATTGCTGTTTATGTCATGTATTCTTAAATTGTATTGTCGCCACATTGAACATTGCCATTTTTGAATTCTAATTATATGGATCTTGGTGCAGATGTCAAATTCAGTGTCTATTTTTACACATCTAGTTAAACAAGGTTGACCCTGAATGAGAGGTCATACAGATAATAACAAGGATGCACAAAATCTCTTTGGAGAGATATCTGGACTGTGCTCCTACCACTAGAGTCCCTTCAGTTTACCTACCTACCACACCGCTGTCAGAAAAAAATAGGTCAAGAGGCCAGCCTGAAATCATGGCCTCCCTTAAATTATCAGTGATGGAATCTGTAGTGGATTGAAGCAAGAGACCAGGCTCAGCCAATTGACAAGACTATTTGGGGCTATAAAATGTCGTTTGTGCCCCCACACAGTCTCTGCTGCTGGTGTCAGTGTCGTTGTCTACTGTTCAGCTGCTGTCTCCCTGGATTCATGGGCCAATAGCTTGCTGGTGCAGAAGCAGATTGTCAAAGTTAACACAGGGCTTTCATAAACTTTTTTGACAAAGGAGTATTATTATACTCACTTCTTTTGTTTAGAGGAGTATTTGGATCTCCTGAGGTAAGAATCTAGAAGTATTTCACTTCCGGGAGTGAAAGCAAGGAGTATTTTTATGTCTTCTAATAAATGATTATGAAATCAAACTCAGTACATGAGATTCGGTTTACATTGTCATCTTAAGCATAAAACAAGTTAGGTAGTGCTTGCAAGGGCAGCTTCTCAATAAGATCGGCAAGGGTGCTCCTGATGACATTGGAAGGTGAGTCATTGTCAGTGTCATGGCTAGTTTTGTGGAAGAGCTCCGACAGTTTAAGTTGTCTGTACGCCATTTTGACAACACTAATTCTGCCGCGTGTGCCGCAAGAGGGCTATTTTCGAATGATCGATTACTTTGTCAATGCATCGGACGGTGCTGCATGCTGCTCTGACCTGTGCTACATGCATGGCGTAACAATGTTTTGATTGGTACCAATTTGATGTTATCGAATCCAAAGTGCACACCATGCAGGCGCCATTTACATGAACAGCCGCATTCTGTACCGCTGCAGCACACTGTATTGCACATGTACACGTACACGTGCAGTTTAGTGAGACATCGTGCACGTCACCGTGCTTTTTCGCCGAGCGACATCGAGCAAGTGGAAGGCTTGCCATCAAGCCATGAGGACGAAGTACCGGCATGATTGAGTGGCATGATATTGCTAAACAGTTGCCCTTACAACGTATTTGACATTCTACAGTAAAAAAGATTCATTTTGACCCTAAATACTTAAAAAATTTTGAAGTATTTAGGGTCAAAATGAATGCATTTTTTACGTGAAGTTATTTTCGTATTCTCCTTTTTCATTGCGTAAAATACACCAATACGCACGCTAACGGAAGCCTTGTGAATAACGAGTGGACTGCTGTCAGCACCCTCAAATTGTGGAGTAATGTGTAGGTGTTGTTTGCCACACTTGTTGCAGGAGTAACCAAATTCTTATACACGTGGAGGTGTTTTCTTTGTAATTCTGTCTCAGTAAATTTTGTCTGTTGATTAAATCCGAAGCAGACGTGGATATTGCTTGCCATGATCTCTTGTACAGTTGTTCCAAAGGTGAAGCCAGTTTCCATTGTGGTTTTGCCTTTCAACACTTCACTGCATCAGGAGTTAACACAGAGCTCCATAATGGCTAGCACCCTCGGCCCAATTGTACCAGTACACATGACAAGTGGTGGGTCATTATTGGGGCATAAAGAGTGGGCCAACTCACTTGCTTGTCCTCTTAATCCCTGGCAGGCATTTAGGATCTTTTCTTTCTGTCACCTAAAGGTTTCCATACCAAGTGAACAATGCCCAGGGCCTGGGTGCGTGTATAGAACATGACAGCGTTGGACCACCTTGGTGTGTTTTTCTTGTAGATCCAGTGCACTATTTTTGCTGCATGAAGTCTGTCTGGAGGGATAGCGTTAGTCCGTACGCGTACATGAGAAAAGCCTTTATTGCTTAAAAGGTCAGACTTCGGAGAACATCAGTGAAGCTTTGTGTAGTTCAGTTACCATTTCACCCACCCCCTGAAAGAAAAGGCTTGAGAGTCATGTTTTTCATGTTGAATTCTTATCAGTGATGTCATTGCTTGTTCTGGATCTTAGTGCTGTCATGTCTGGCTATGTACCAACTAATCTTTAACATTCAGATTAATCAGAGCGAGGTTTGTCATTCATGCACATGTATACGTGTACTACCATAGAGGCCACTAAGATGTGTGCTATTTATTCACGAGAGAGTTGTTGCAGTTGATGTATCAATCTTTTGAAAGGGAAGGCTTTTCAATGAAGACTTTGAAAAAAAAAATTTTGCCAACAGTGGCATGTTAGATAAACAAGTAAAGGAAAAGGTACATGTACATGTAGCTTTGGGCCAGCTGTGTATGTACAGTGGCTTAAAATGCATTACACTATAATGGGTGTGAAATCTCCACATTTTAGCGGATTTCCACTTTTTTGTTAATTTGCTGAATTTGCTTTGTGTGTAAACAGCAACCTTGGACCACCGATCATGGTGCTGTGATTGGCTGCTAATGGAATATTAATATTCATATGTGTATCAGTCTTACTCTTTGTAGCCGTTTTTGCATGAGCTGAAGTAGTGACTAACAAGATCCACTATAACTCGTGGTAGCACACATTTCACTGTAAATTTGCGGCTTGAAATAAAGTTAGTAAATTTTTGCTTTCGCTGATTGAGGGCTTTGTAGCAACTGGTGCGGGGTGCATTATTGTGTGGTTTTGCGTCGCTTTCAACAGGCTTTCAAACAATTTTGGACATAAACTCATCAAAATATCAGTGCAACACAAATGTACAATTACCCATAGAGATTCTGATACCGTCTTTGACAAGACCGATCCTCAAGTGACAAATCCACAGAAGTGGATTTGAATGGAATACACTGGTAGACAGGCAGACAACCCAATCTGTGCCGGGAAAATCCAAAAGCCTGGACATCTGATGTGCATTCTTTAAAGAATTGAAATTTTAAAACATGGTTAGATCAGGTAGGAAAAGGGCCAACTCGCTCTACAAACCTTGGTATTTACAATTTTGGTATACCTATTATTACGGCAGTTCATTTTAACCTTCAGGAATTTCAGCCAAATGAAGGACAAGTAAAATTAAATTTTGCATAGCCTAAGTTCCAAGAAAAAAATAACTAAAGTTGCACCAAGAGGCTGTAAAATGTGGTGTAAAATGCACCACAGAGCATCTACATTTCAAAATTTGTCTGTGGCCCCCACACTACATATACATGTACATGTTTCACGCTTGCAGTATCAGCTATCTTTTCTGTTCCACGCACACCCCCTGCTATAATTGCCATCAGAATTTTGGCCATAAAGAGTGCATTGATGATCGACAACACAGAGTGTTTTTGACTGCAGTGCGTCGTCAAGTGAAGCTATGTGTACTGTACATGTACACCTCTGTACAGTTTACACTGTACGTTGGCCTTCATGTATGTGTTTCGGTTGAAACCCTGCATATTTAACAAAGGAAATTGATAAAAGCCTTTGCCAAACATTTATCACTACCCAACCGTTCTGTGCATAGAGACAGGAATCATCCTGCCGTGAAACCCACAAATTTTTCCTGCCTGCTTTGGGTTCACTGCTCAGTGTTGCCTCTATTATTATGCCCTTCATTGCAGATTCAGGTTTGAATGGGCTCTGTTGCAAATAGTTATCAACCTGATTATTGCATTGTAATCCTGCAGGGCTGTGTGCATGTATTTCCATGCCCATGCTGTGCTGTGCCCGTACATGTAGTATGGCTGCATTGTGCTCG